CATTGCACCTCCGCTTACATTTTATCTCCGTTATCAGTGAACAGGCAACCTGTTGAAGGTTGTAAATCTAGCTTCTTGCCCGAATTATCAGTAGATAGCTTTCTGCTTCAGTTGATGTGCGTAGTGGGCTCAGTTAATGTTATCCTATACCAGTTCTCCACCACATTTTATAGCTCTCTCACCCCTGAGTGGCTCTTCAATAGTTCCTTTCTCTCCTAGTAGTGACTTTGTTTGGACTGCAAGTGCCCTTGGTTGGCATAAATTTGCACTGGTGTCAGGGCAACCTGGACCGCGGTGTGATTGTCGGCCCATGCTCACATACTAAATGAGGTGGAGAGCTTTTTTCCGCGTAATCTCTTCATTCGCAGCAGCGTTCGTCATTTCGGGGAGATTTTGCTGGCGCAGCTCACAATTGACGTCATCATTTGTGGAAAATCGGGGAAGAAATTAAGTTAGGTGAGCGAGTTGAAATTTTGTAGGGAATTCTTTTCTCACGTGAAAGTAGGAAGCAGTGACGCAGCACCAGTTGGCGTAGGTAGCTTTGAATGATAGGTTTTTCATAGTAGATCACTCAATTCTGGCAGTAATATGGTCTAAACTTCAGTAGGTGGGCAAATCCGTTCTAAATCGAGACCATAATCAGATTTACAGTAGAGATTATGGGTTGTTGGAATGGGCTACTAAAAGTTCAATGATCAATTTCGAATTAACAACTGAAAGAAAAGCTATCGATGTCACTGACGGGGCGAACAATTTCTATGGTAAGAAATTGAGATTTCTCAACACTTGAAATATCCTCTTTAGTCTTTTTTTCTGTCTTGTATGTACCCTACAAAACTACCAACCCAGTGCCGGTTTCCATGCTGACGTTCCGGCTATCCAGTGTGTCCGAGAAATCGTCCGCATTTTTACTGTTCACGAGAAGTTTTCCGGCTATCGTACACTTTTTCTCATTTTTTGGCAGCATGAAATGGATGCGCTTTTTCACATTTCTTATTTCTAAGTTTTGATTATCCCGACCAGTTTTAAAACTGTCACGATGACTATGGAATGGTATTATATAAATTTTAGCTAATTTTGACGCCATTTCGGCGCCTTTTTTACAACCTTAAATATCGTTTTTCCGCATGCATTCCATTCGGCTGCTGCATAACTGGAACTCCCTGCACCCGTCTGAGCCCGTCTGAGGAATGTGCTCTTAAAAGCCAGGCGGCGGAAAAACTTTTTACCTTTCCCACCCTCTTTGATTCAGATTTCGTGCTGCTCAATCGGTCTTGCCATCTTTGCAGTGCTGGGCTGTCCTTCTTAACACGTTGACGACACGCCCTTGTGCGCGAACCTACCCACCTTACTTTACAAATTTGCATTAACAGTTACTACATTACCAATAATTTCATTAGTGGTAACGAGAGAACTATTTTTCGTATCCAACAGTAGGAAGGGCCAGTCTTGAAGCATGAAAATGGAGGCACAATTTAGGAAAAACAAGTCTCTTCCGTGTGAGAGTGCGGGACGTATGTGTCCCGCGCTGTCGTCAAAGTGTTAACACATTGACGACAACGCGGGGGATATATATCCCGCGCATTGCAGGCCATGTCGGACCGTGCGGGATATATATCCCCCGCACCCATTACACTCATTTTTTTCGCGCACGCCTGATTCTTTTAGAAGTTTCTTGTATTTATTCCATGGAAGAGACCTTGACGTAGCTACAAACATAGTGGCCCATAGAATGGTCACGTATGCTTTAATTTAGAGGAGGATTTCTGAACCATACGAAATCTTCAGTTAATAAATTTTTCGTTTACTTTTTCTTTATGAATGTGAAGATTTAAATAGTAGTAGAAGTAGATACGGAACCTTAGAGATGACAATATGTGTGTTTTGATGGAATTAATCGAACGTAAAATTGCTTCTGAAGCCCATTGCAGCTAGTTCTGCCATATTTCGCTGTTTCATTGTTACTTCATGTCTTTCCATCGAAATTTCACTACTATGCAACCTGAGTTGGTTGTGCTTATTACAATTTACTCATCCGGTTTTGTACTGATCATTATTCATGTACTTATCACTCAAAATCTGCTTGAACGACCTGAGGCGAGCGCGCCCGCAAAATCGCCGCGGTCCCACGTGGCCAAAAAAGCCAAAACTCGCATTGTCGTCAATGTGTTAAATAACTCCGTAATAAAGTAAACAGGCAAATGTGCAAATTGATTCCTAAATAAATGCATTCTAGGCACAAAAGCTGTGAAACTGTGCTGAGCTGTGAAGCTCAAAGTTGCGCGCTATATTTTATTTAATTTGTTTGTTCATATTTTGGTTTTCTATAAAGATATAACAATGTGACGGTAGGTCACAAGATTTTCATGAAGGACCAACTGTAATTAACTTGTGTTGAAACGTTCTGCTCTAAGGAGAATTCACGATAAGAACGAAGGTCGAAGAAGGGGAAAATGGCCTAGTTGGGAGACAGGCGGACCTCCTGAGGGTGCTGACCAACGCGTTGGCAGCGAAAGATTTGACCTCGGCGCTCCAGCATGGCTCAATCTTGGCGCGGTGGGCCGGTGTACGCCCACCGATCATCTGATCACTCGCCGCAGGTCTATACGTGGCGAGTGATTAGATAGGTGAGAGAGCGTAGTGTTGAAGAGGGCACAGCGATGAGAGTCGCATCAATGCTCAAATCAACGGGCAAGGAAGGGGTCCCATTTCTCGGGTTCTGGGCCGTTTTCTCATGGTTTTTTCCTTCTTTCGTGTACCACTCGCCATCTTAAGTTATTTGCAATGGGTTCTGCTTTTTCAGTATAATTCGTCTTTTAACATGTCTAGTGATAGAAGGTTTTACTTTTTACTTAGGCTGCCTACATGTACATAATTTTCTCCCAGCCGTATAAGCTCGTCGGCATTATTTCTGGAGCCCTGCTCACGGAATGAACATGTTCTTCATGTTTGCATCGAGGAAGATTAAACCACCTTTATCACAAGGCTGCTGAGTTATGGGCCAAACGCTTTCTTAGCAGCTGTGCTACCTACCAAGCATATAACCAGGGTCAACGGCCTGTGTACGGTGGTGGGGTTCGTGCCAGCACCCATTGAGAGAGTGTGGCCACAGAATTTCAAAATTTCGAATAACCCTGTCACTAACAGCGGCGCAAAACCGTAGTCATTAAAGTCAAAAATCAGGGCTTTTCTTTAGATTATTGTAATCGTGCACTTGCATCTATGTATCTACATAGTGGAGGTTATTCGGTTGATTTATAGCTTTCTCCAGGTCAACGGAGCACAATAAAACCTCGATACAATTTCCTATAATTTCCTTGTGCTTTTTACATTTTTACGTGAACATTTATCTTTTGAAAATTATATATTGAAGGCCCAGGCCGTTGAGAAATACGGTTTAGTGGTTTTGTTTCCTTCTTGCCAGTTATACCTTAGTTTTCTTTTCTCTGTAATGAACAGATTGGATCACCACCGACACTCAAGCCATCCTGGGTTTCAGAGCCTTTCAAGCGAATTCCTGCAAAGTAAACCAGGGGTTCCATAGGTCTCGCTCAAAAAAAGTAGCCAAAAACTAGCTCAAGGGTCATCTGAAAATCGCGCATTCGTGAGATGTAATCTTGATCTTCGATTCCTTGGCAAATACGACAGATGTGTGAATGGCGGGTAAACTTGGCTGGTTATAAGCAGAAATCGGCGTTGGTAAGACGAGAGACTGGAGGGTGAAGGGAAATGTCGAGAGGGTTTCCCTCAGGACTCCCAGCGGCCTTTCATTGCATAAGAGCAAAAGAAACGCATTAGGAATTCGACGGCAACGGAACCGCTTTACTCTGTGAAAGACGTTGCGAGGGGAAACCGCTACCACTCCTTAACGATTGAATCATTCCTCAAATTAATATCAAATGAGATTTTTATCTGCAAAATTATATTAACTCTGCATTGCATTAAACTCTTCAACTTTCATATTCTACTCTATAGTATAATATTATTCTGCCTGGAATTGCTGCAGGTTCACTCAATAAAATCAATAAGAGAACAAAATTATTCGGTCAGTGCAGTACATGGATAAATTGAGTAAAATTGCTTGGGCTCAGCTACTTCTCTTTGTAAGGCGCTCGACTTTTACTCATGGCCGAATCACGAACAAGGAATACTTGAACGCTCACATTGACTCTCCAATGAGGCTTGGTAGGGTTTGCTCTTGTTTAGATCGCGTTGGTTGTTTGGTTGTTGTTTTACACCCCTAAACGGCTGTGTTTTTCAGCGCCTGTGTGTGAGGTGACGAGAGTGCATCTTTATTCACTCTCGTCACCTCGGCGTTTGCTTGCGTTCAGTTCTTCCTCGTGAAGGAGTTAAAAATTGCCCAGTGGGGAGACAGGCGGACCTCCTGAGGTGCGGACTGACACGCAATTGGCAGCGAAAGATTTGACCTCGGCGATCTAGCATGGCTCACTCTTGGCGCGGTTGGCGGGTACGCCCACCGACTATCTAATCACTCGCCGCAGGTCTATACGCGGCGAGTGATTAGATAGCAGAGAGAGCGTTAGCGTTGAAGAGGGCACAAAGATGAGAGTTGCATCAACACTTTTTCGGATTCTGGGCCACTTCTCATGACTTCTCCTTCTTTCTTGTACCACCCATTATCCTTAACTTAATTTGAAATTGGTTACTTTTTCATTGTGAAATCTGCCCTTAACCCTTTATTCGTTCCTAGCCCCACCTCAGAAGGGTTTAGAGAAAATGTATGACAGCTCTGATATGTTATACATCAGGTTTTTGGTATCAAAAAGTTGTGAAGAGTTGTTTCCCCAGAGTGGACGAACAGGTACCAGGTTTATTAATTGCGCTGACTTAATTTTGAACTTTTATTTTGCACTTTTTTAGACTTAACTTTTGTTTGCGAAGATTAACAACAACATGCTACGCAGCCGCTCGCGTCTCGTTGTGGATTTTTGTGTCCATTTCTTCTCCATTGATCTATCACATTGCCCGTCATTAGAGTAAGGCTACTGATAAGACAGGTTTCTTCAGTAGTGATCCTTCCAAATGACCTTCCGAATTCAGATGGTCAGGAAGGCGGGGTCACCTTTGAAGCTGCTCATTCACTCAGTCGGCTTAATTTTCGAGTAGTCCTGTGAAAAGACGAGGCTTCAGAGAATTTGAAGGTAACAAAGTCACAGTTAAAGAAAACCAGAATGACGAAGCTACATAAAAATGAAATAAACAATTTTACTGAGGCTGGAAAAGTATATGTAAGGCGCATAGGTTGCTGGACATTCGAGGCCGATTGATGTTGTTGGGAATTCTGATGGGAGCCTATCTCAGCAAGCCGCTTCTCTCACCCGTCTACGTGCGTCAGCGCCCATCCTATTCCACACGCCGATAATGCGCTTTCGTATTCAATTCCCTTATAAAACCCGCTTACCTAGAAGTTTCTGTCATTGCCTCGTTTGGAAAGCTGTCACTTCAGCTTAGCCATTGCAAAGCTTTTTAGCTGTTTCCATTGTTTAACATCTAGGACTTCTACTAGCCCATCTTCTATCCCTTCAGTAATTGCTTTTTGATCAAAGTAGCTTTTCGAAGCTCCGAGGAAGGAGAGCCTGGAAATTTTGAGTCTTTCCTCATGATGATGGCAATTATTTCATACTTTCCGGCAATTTTTTTGAATTCCACTGCCATTTTCAAGTGATGACTTTTCTAATACTTCTTTTTAGCAAAAAGACGGGTTGTCGATCTGAGTGTTTTTAGCAGTTGCTTTACTTGG